TTTTTTTTTTTGTCCAGACATTTTGCACCCCCTGACATCGGTCCGGACTGTCCGGGTCCGGTGATGTCTGGGTGTCCGGTGATGTTGGGATCACCGGACAGTCCGGACCGGTCCAGACACTGGTCCGGAAGACAGTCCGGAGTGTCCGGTGTCCGGGTCTGCAGTTACCATGATATTAATTTAATATTTTATTTTGTTATTCCCAGATAAATAGGATCTGTAGCCAGAAAAGCCATGATTCTATTTGGTATTCAGAAATTGTTACATGCGATTTGTCTTTCACCTTGATAGTTTCCCAGATGTCTTCCATATCAAGTCTCTTTATTTCGACCTCAAGTTCCATGCTGTGTTCTACATGGCACCTAGTACACAGCTGCTGCCTGGCACAGGTTCAGCAGATCAAATCCGGGTTGAGGACAGGAGGATGGAGAGAAGACCAGCAGAGTTTCCTAAAGCAGCCGAAACATGGGATGGAAGATTGGATGGTAGTGGGAGGGCTAGTAAAGGTGGCGGTGACGAGGAAAGTGCAGGCAAAGAGAACAGCCGATTTATTAAAGCCACTATGTCGAGAACAGTAACGGAACAGGAGAAAGGTGGTGGTCACACAAATGCTCCTCATCAAGGGGAGATGATGTTTACCTACCCTGTTGGAAATGATGAGAGATATCTTGTCAGACCACTAAGAGAAAGTTACTCCGCAGGTGACACATCACAAGTTAAGGCTGTTACTGGTGCCCGCACTGGTGCACAAGGACGCAGAGTGAGCTGGTGTGATGATGTGGAGGAGATGGATGGACCATCTTGCAAACCAGTCAGTAGTATGCGCTCTGACATGTCCAACGTCAGCAATCTCAGCAATTCTGAACTCTGCCAATGGTCAAAAGAAGGCAAGCCTCCTGTCAAACCCGCAGGCAGAGAGATTACTGGCAATCCCAATCCAAGAGGCGTGGATGATGAATATGGTCCCAAATGTGGTCCTGGACCCAAGTTTTGCTGGTCCGACAGCCTTGGCCCAAAGTTTTGCTGGCCCGATGGCTCCCCTGTGGGTTCTTACAGTTCTTTGGGCCCAAGACCCAGCGAGACAGGAAAGGGTGCTAGCGATTTGCTAAGAGCAAGAGGTGGTCTTGGACGGCAAGGCGGTGGCTCTTTCAACTCCAGCTTCAATGCCCAGACTGACACCTTTAGGCACAACACCCAAAATGAACCTGCCAGCTCAAGCTATAACTCCCGAAATGACTCTTGTAACTCAAGCTACCTTGCCCATATCGGCTTTCCAAATGCCATGAAAGGCGGGAGAATAGCTGGTGCTGGGCGAGGCAGTACGGGGGGACGGGGCCGTGGTGCAGGCAGTGGAGGAAAGGAAGGAGTGCGTGCCCTGTCCTCTGTGCGTAGAGATGACCTCCTGGGTTCTCAAGACTCAGGGCTGGCAAGACGACCTACGCCCATGATGGCAGACACGAGCAGCAATGCTGTGGCAGGTGCAGCCGATGCAGAGCTCTGGTGGGCAGAGCAGCTCCGTTTGTCGGAGAATAAGAGGGAGCAACTCATACGCACTGTTGAGCACCAGGTAATCCTCTTTACTGAGGTTGCTATTTGAATAATGACCAACCTGTCCAATTACCCAGAACAGCGATTGAGACAAAATATTCACAGCTTAGGTGCTGCTCATCTGCTGCTCAGTTCTTTTTTTTCCATTCATGGCCCTTTAAACATTTGCAAGAGCTCACATGTTTCCATCTGCTATTTTGAGAGTTATCGAACATGACGTCAATTGAGTAGCAGCTTAGCAAGGTGGAATTATGAGAAAGGAATATGAGAAAAGCATCACGCTTGAGCAAAAATAAAAAGCCTGCAAAGCTACAAGACTCACATCGGGTATACCACGGTTACCCGCTGGGAACCTCTACCCGCCCATACCCACCCCTTTTTTTTTTGGGCCACCCGTACCTGCCCATACCCGTCTATTTTTTTTTCTGGCTGCCATACCCGTTTTTTTTTTTTTTTTAATCCTACCCCTACCTGCCCTTACCCACCCATGATCTCCAAAAAGGGGAACTGTGCCTGCCCTAACAACCACCACCTTTTGTTTGTGCCTGCCCATACCCAACTCCGCCTTCAGAAGGGGTACCCATACCCGCCCGTAACCTGGAGGTTACAGTTGGGTATGGCCGGGTACGGGCAACTGTTACCCGTTTGCACTCTCTGATATACGGTCATTGGATGGCTCTATCGCTGCATTCCTCCAATGGCGCAATGTTTTGTTCGATTGATCATATGAATACCCCTCTCTCCACTACGTCGTTTGGTGCATATATGTCATTATATGTTGATCAGTCTTACTTCGTTTTCTTTCCATTTGAGATCCATCCAACACCATCTTCCTTCTTCCACATCAGTCTTTGTTGCAGTAACAGATCCCATTTGGTACAATTTGTCATCCCTTTACGACTCCCTGATCTATTGGTACTAATTTGGTAGACCATTTTTTTTTTTTTTAAATTAAAAAAACAGGTCCTTATGGTCCTGGCTCCATATCCATGCTGGGGAGCGTCAGTCCGGTTTCTGTCCACCGGCAAGTTGAGAATTGGAGTACACGGTGAACACTCTCACGCTTCCTTCCGTCTGGCCGAAGGAACCCTGACCAGCAATGATTGCTCCCATGTAGGAGGATTGACTGTCAGCTTGCCCTGCCACCTTTCCTCTCAGAATCCATTGTGATTCTGTCATATAATTCGTGTGCAACAAGAAAAGAGGAGAATTGTCTATATTGCTGAGACTATGATCTCAATGTGCCCATCACTGGGTCGTCGTCGTTGCTGGAGTTTTGCTCTGCCATTTCTTCACACCAATCTGTTATCTGCCACTGTTGCAATCTTTCCTTGTAGAAGCCAGTCTCTCATAAAAGAACGTCTCTTGGCAGCTAGCCTTTCTGGTCTGACTTTCGTTGTTGATGTTACCTCCCTCCATCTGCACTGAATCTCAGTTTCCGTCATACCCAGCAGTAGGGCCCACATTTCTTCCCTTGCCACCTCAGTTCTCTCGATAGTCTTGGCACACCTCCTTTTCCAGATCACCCACAGAGCCAACTCCCTGAGAAGGTGAAACCAGATTTCCTTGCCACCTTCGAGATTGTTAGTAGTGTTGGATAGAAGAAGGATATTTTGAGGAGATGTGGGGGGAGGGGGTAATGAGAAGAGGAGGGACCGTAGGCCGCGGACCTTGTTCCATATCCAGGCTGCTTCCGTGCGGTACAAGAGGCAGTGGGGTATGTCTTCTGGTCTGTTGTCTGTGCACAAATCACATAATTCGGAGCTGTCGGGATCCGTATGTTTCCTCCTCTTGTGGAGCCATTGGTTGACGGGCAGCGATGCGTGGGCTAGCGTGGGCTAAGATCCACTGCATGCTTCGGATCCTAACCGGTCTGATGGGCAGGTGGTTTGTCCAGGGAATGGAAATGGGGTCCGTAGGTTCTAGGTTCAGGGTCTCTATCCATTTTGTCTTTGAGTCTGGGATCCGGGTCTGTGGTCTGTACTCCTAAGTCATATCCAAATTTTACATCGTATTAATATCGTTCTCGTTCTCTCGGATTTTCCTTGTTTCCAGATCCACTCTTTCGGGTTGAATTCGAGGTCTGAGATGCTGAGATCAGGTTGGAAGACTAACCAGATTTTGGTTTTCGGGACCCTCACTTTCCTCACTAGGAAGGATTCTAGCATCTCGCACTGGGGTTCTCTGTTCATAATTTCCAACTCTTGTAGCTTGTGATTAGTGATCGAGTACGAGAAGAATTTGGAGAGGTATCTGGGTGCATTGGTTCGAGAGACGAATCGGTATGGTCTGCGAGGCTGATCTGGGAAATGAGTATGCCACAATCTTCGGATTTCCATGAGAGGTCCTCCCTTAGGAGGGACCACTGTGTTGGGATGCTCTTCTGAATCTGTGTTAATTTTTTTTGTGAGGGCGCGGCAGCCTTTTAAATCGATTCGAAGCTCCTGTTCGGTTGACCATTGTCTTCATCTTCTGCCAAAATGTGTTTCACCTACCACACCCCTTTCTCCACCCTGGATATCCATCTCCTGTCTTTTGAGCGTAGTGTCCATGGTGAGCCACTTGGGTCTACGATCCAGGGGTTGCACAACAGAGGTGGTCTCATGACATCTTCTCTGTTTCCTGGTGCACCGTGTTTACTCGGCGTCATTCTTCGCCAGGGTTGGGATAAGGCTTGTAACAGAAAATGTTGGGTTTCTTCTCCAAGGCCTGTCTGATTTGATTGTCCAGTCCTTCACCGTTATCCAGAAAAGACCTCTCATGTTTGGAGGGAGTTGATAGGTGCAAGATTTCCGATGCTGTTAGAGCCATCTGGGTCCATGGAATGAGGTGTCTTAACAGGATCTTGATAATCCATTTCATCTGCAGTGTCATGGATTCCTCTTTGGGATCAATTAACCCAAGACCAGCCTCCTGCGGTTTCTTGGTGATGTGGTCCCAGGCTACCATGTTGATACACGTGGTCCTGTTGGGGTCTAGCCCTGTTTTTTAACGTTTTGGGGTCATCATCGGGGAGGGACCAGATGGATGCCATGTACCACACTGTGGAGAAGATTGTTGTGTTAATTAATAAGGCTCCTCCGATTAACTAGGCCGGAGCGTTTTTGCACAGGGCCATGCGAGTGATTGCCCTGACAACTAGGTTCTGGCCCATGCCTGGCCAGACTCCGTCCTTCTTTACCATGATACCTAGGAATCTTATTGCCTGACCTCCTGTAGACCATGCCATGTGTATGGCTGTATCGGCCTGTTGGGTAGGGGGCCCATCTTCTAGCCATCATCCTTCAGTTTTGTCCCAATTGACCTTCATTTCCGATGTCAATCTGAAGGCTTCCATTGCTCTTACGAGGGTTTGGAAAGAGAAGTTGTTAGCACGAATGAGGACAGTGAGGTCGTCGGCGAACAGTAGCGCAGTGTGTAGGGCGAAGTCGTGTAATGGATTGAAGTTGCGTTCAGTAAGGCGATTGATGGATGGGTCTTTCCGAAGGAAGGAGGCTATGGCTTCCATAATGAAGAGGAAGATGGGAGGAGCCCATGGGTCGCCTTGTCTAACCGATCTTGAGATCGGGTAGGTCTCTGAAAGAATCCAATTGACCTGAACTCTGCCTGTTGCATCTCCATAGAGGACTCAAACCCATTCTCTGAACTTGGGGCCTACCCCCATTTTCTCCATGCAGGCATGCAGGAAGTCCCAATTGACCTGATCATAGGCCTTTTCGAAGTTCAAAAACATGATTGCTGCCTTCATTCGTTTTTTCGTGACTTTCTTTGCTGCCTCATTCAGTGCCATCACGTTGTCTAGTATGTACTGGTCAGGGATAAAGCCTGCTTGGTCGATATGAAAGCATTTGTTTATTAGCTTTGTGTTTTTGTTTGCAAGAGCCTCAGCAAGAATTTTGTAGGGAGTGGTGAGTAGTGATATGGGTCTATAGTTCTTCAGGTTTTTTTTGTCACCCTTCTTGTGCAGTAGAGATACCACGCTGGTGCTTAGTTCATTGATTAGGCCTCCCTTTAGCCTGCTGTCGTTGAAGAACTCGAGCAGGTCCTCTCCTAGAGTTGGCTAGAGGTACCTCAAAATTCTTTCGAGAGGCCGTCAATGCCCAGAGCTTTGTCATTTCCCATCTGGGTCAGGGCTACGTGTAGCTCAATCGGGGTTAGGGGTTTGTTCAGACCTTCCGCTTGAGTTGTTGAGATCGTTTCAGCAGGTGATACTCCCCACCAATAGACCAGATTCTCAACTAGGTGATTAGGAATGACTGCTCTTATCACCATTCCTAAAGACTTCAGTTGTGTTTTGATTAAAAAAAAAGAAAAAAAAAAGAAGGTTGAGGATTCTCAGCTCTTCGTCTTGCTATCTACCCTTCTCACTGTCTCCCTCGCTGTTTAAGATTTTACCTTAAATCAAAATCTTGGGCATCCTTGGTATGAGAATTGCAGTTCCTTTCTTACTCGGACCCTCTTTGTTGGACCACCGGGCAAAGGCGCATCCACCTATTGTCTTCTCGACGGTTTTCTGTATTCTTGTGTGGTTGTTAAGAATAGATAGGTGGTTCGATTGAAGTAGTATCACGTCAGGTTCGGGCTGATCTTTTCCTATCGGCCCGAGACGAATGTGCCTGATTTTATTTTCCTCGGCTAAGGCATTCCCTAGACCATTGGCATTTTAGCAAGGTATCTGGAGGCCCTTGGCATGCCAGCTGGTCTTTGGTGGGTTGCCTTGCCCATATCTAGAGTTTGTGAGCCTCCACATTGTCTGATCCATCATCCCCCTCTTTATTCTTTTTTTCCTTTTTTTCTTTTCCTTGGTTGTTTTCTTGACGTGGGTGTTACAGTGTGTGTTTTACTTGTATGGACAGGATTTAATTAGTGTTTGAAGTGCGTTCTTCAGTCCATTGCTACCTCAATCCTGTGGCTTTCGGTGTTCGATTCCCTGCTCTCGTCCCTCACTGGTGAGGATCCGATGTCGTACTCTCCTGTGCTTCTCTCTGTCGAAGTGTGTGGTTTTTCGGTGTCTCCTCTTGGGGAGATCTTGTCACCCAATCCCAGCTCCTCCTCTTCCTCCTCCATGTTGTCTTCTTCCTCCCCCATATCTACCTCTATGGGATTAGCCCCGTCTTGCAGTGAGCTTTTTGAGATCAAGAGGTGGGTCTTGATGTAGGGAATCTGCAATGATATCAGTCGTGCTGGATCAGTCGTTCAACACATTATAAGGGATTGTTGTGATAGTGTTCCATGCCCTCCAAGCCAGGCCTTCACTGAGTTTTGCCTTTTCGTTAAGCTTGACCAGAATGGGGTGGAATAGGTTGAAGAT